GCCCATCAATCTCAATCAAGACCAACAAATAAAAGATACAATCATTAGAATCCGAGTGCAGATGTTTTCTGTGTCTAGAGACTTGGTGTCCGTTAGACGGATGTGTTCCTGGCATCTTGGCATCCTTTGAATTGAGCACATTGTTGATGTGACCTGCCGTGTAATAATGCCTGCTGAAATGGCTTTGGTGTGGTAGATTGAAATCATAATTCTGACATTGAAATGTTGTTTCACTGTATGAAAGGCATCGTCCTCAATTGAAACTCGCTCAGGCGATGTGCATTTCATATGGACTATACAATACAAAATTCTTAATCAGACTTAAATCTTTATTTAAAAAAAAGACAGAAAAAAGAAGAAACCACACAGCATAGAATTTGACCCTTTTGTTTTAGGAAATTGGGATTAAAACCTATCTCTATGGTTTTATAAATGTACATTTATTCCAATCATGGTTTTCTGATGTTGATCCAAGTATCAGAGGCATTAATTATTTATCAAAACAAATGAGAATACTTAGCTCTTTCTCTCTCAACATTATATACATATGTGTATATATATATGTTAAAATATGTATATTATGTATTTTTAAACAACTCTCATTTGGGAAGGCACCTATCATAAACAGTAGCATGGAAGTGCACCTCCACATACCAAGATCTCCAGGAATTCCTTATAATTTGCATTGAATTATAATTCCGTATTTAAAACTCAGCTGAATTCCTCAAGTGGAGGAGGTTTGTGTGCAGAGCACCTGTACCTGCGACTGAACTGTGAGCTCTCAGTGTTGGCTTGAGAGGGAGCAGCATCGGATCCAAGCGACCTGGGAGCCTGTGTGGCTTGTGCCAGTTGGCTGTGGCTCACGCCAGGCACACAGCTCACCTGGGGGCTGTGCTAGAAGTGTCATGCCTTATTTGGGAAGGAAATCAGATTCACGATGGAAGATACATTCTAGAAACTAAATAGCATTCTAATTCATAGTTGAAGTGTGCCACTTGCCAGCAGGGCAATTGATAAATTTGTTTCTGACCGAGATTATGATAAAAATAAAATAAGATATAAAACTTGATGAGAAAAAAAAAATCTGTAGAGAATACATAACACGCAATGTGGAGGAGAGGGGGGTTAATGACATGTTTTTCCTCCGAGTCTCAATTCTGTGACATGCTAGTTTTCTAAAGAAAGAGAATTTTAAAATTTCGTCTGGCACAGATAAGTGGGTAAACGAATCTTGATGGTTTGGAAACGGGGAGAGTAGTAAGAAAGACTGCACTTAGCACAAGAATCATTTTGGAGTGATGAGCACACTGGAGTGTGATGATGTTTATATCACTGTAACAATTTAATGAGAATCATTGAACTACATGTAACGTTATAGGTGAATTCTGTGGTATAGGTTGTAACTAATGAATTTTTTTAAATTAGCAAACTATAGCTTCATGACAGTTTATAGCAGTTTCTCAGATGTGATATAAAAAAGGCAAAGATAGAAAAATTTTAAACATACGTAAGCTGGGATATATCACAATAAAAATATATTCATCAAAGTAAACAATACAGGGCCCGGCACGGTGGCGCAAGTGGTTAAGGTCCTCGCCTTGCACGCCCGGGATCCCATATGGGCGCCGGTTCTAGTCCCGGCAGCCCCGCTTCCCTTCCAGCTCCCTGCCTGTGGCCCGGGAAAGCAGTCGAGGACAGCCCAAAGCTTTGGGAACCTGCACCCATGTGGGAGACCCGGAAGAGGCTCCTGGCTTCGGATCGGCATAGCATCAGCCCATTGCGCTCACTTGGGGAGTGAATCATCGGACGGAAGATCTTCCTCTCTGTATCTCCTCTCTGTATATCCGCCTTTCCAATGAAAAAATAATAAAAATAAATCTTTAAAAAAAAAAAGAAAAGAAAACAATACAATTAAAATATAACCTTCAGAATGGGAAAAGTGTTTTCAAATTATGTGTCTGATAAGGGTGAGTATCCAGAACATATGAAGAACCCCTACAACTTAACAACAGCAATTAACCTGATTCAAAAGCAGGCATTGGACTCGAATAACATTTTATTCGTGGAGATAGACAGTGGACCAATAAGCGCACGAAAAGATACTCAGCGACTCTTCTATCAGCAAAAGGCAAATCAAAACCACGAGATCCTACTTCACATCCATTAGGTCTGTTTTCTACAAAACAGGAAACAGCAGGTGTTGGCAATGGTGTGAAAAAATTGGAATCCTTGTGAACTATTGGCAGGAATGTGAAATGGCATAAGGCCTTGTGGAAAACAATATGCCATTTCTTCCAAAAATTATGGTTGCCATGTGAACCAGTACTTCTGTGTCCGAGAATATATCCGGATGAATGAAAGCAGGATCTCAAGGAGATAGCTGTACATCTATGCTCACAGCAGCTTATTGCAGTTAACTTGTAAGCCAGAGAAAGGGAGACAGGACAACAGAAAAATGCCATAGTTAATGCATTCAGGTAGAGGAATCTTCACTTATTATGCCAGTTAGATTGGCCTATTTGGGAAATCTGGCTATTCTCTCTCTCTCTCTCTCTCTCTCTCTTTCTCTCTCTCTTTCTCTCTTTCTCTCTCTCTCTCTTTCTCTCTCTCTCGATGTCTCGGGAATGTCAGGTAACAATTTAACTTCCACTTAGTGACCTGGGACTTTAGCCCGGGTCACTGCATTTTGAATTTTAGTTCAGTTTGTTGTATCCTAGCTTAGTCCACGTTCCTGGCTGTCTCTAACATTTATTGAACAGGATATAAATGCATCCAAGTTTGTGTTGATAAATTCTGATTTTTGTCTCTGCTATTCATCTGTATTCATCTGGCTTCATGGAATTGAATCACAACTTAATGTGGATAATCTCATGTAGACCAGTTTTATAAATTCTAGTCTCGCAATTCTAACCAATTGCTTGATATTTCTATTTTACTCTCTGAGAGGGGCTGAAGAACAAAAGTGAGAATTCCACATAGTTGAACAAAGGAAGACACTTAGAGAAATTCCTTGGACATTGATCAGCATCTGCTTAGCCAAAGTCCAATCACATGGTAGCTGGGACCCAGGCCTCACCAGTGGCAGCTCAGAGTCTGCCAGCTTATCAGTCAGGTTCTCCTCATTCAACTTTGTAACCGGGCTTGGCGCTGCTTTCTGTCTCACGTCAGTTGTTCTTTTTATTATTTTTTTCAAGATGTATTTATTTATTCAAAAGCAAGAATTACAGAGGGAGAGATCTTCCATCCGCAAGCCCCTTTCCTCATCACTGCTGCTTGTTGTCATCTCGACACTTACTCTTGCCCTAGGGTCATGCAGTGTGCAGAGTGGGCCCTCGGAGCTGTCAGCACCCACAGAGATAAGGACAGCAGATCCCAGCTGGGCAGGTCGGATGACGGGGAGTGCTGACCGGAGGCCAGGAGCGGAGAGGGGATTGCGGTCAGTGCCGTGAATCTGCAGAGATCCAAGGTGTGGGTGTGGGTGAGAGACTCAGGAGGGCCAACTCTGTGGGAAAACCTGATGAACTGCAGAAATTAGAATCCAGGTAAAACTCCCAGCATCCCAACTTCCAATAAGCGAAGAGAGAGCTCTCCTCCCTGTTCCTGACTGATATCTAACATGTTACTTTTTATTTCTTGATAGTTTGTGTTTTTTTTTATCTGAAGGGAAAGAGGGATGGAGGGACAAAAGGAGAGAGAGAGAAAGAGAGTGAGAGAGAGAGAGACAGAAGGAGGCAGAGGGAAATAGAGACACAGAAAAAGTTTTAAAATGTCTGTTCTTGGGCTACAAGGACATTTAGGGACCACGGCATGTGACAGACATGTTTCCTAAGTCAAGTTCCACCACATACTATCTGCGTGATCTTGAGCAAACTTAAATTTTTGGACAATTTTTTAAAAAAAAATTGTAAGAGCAGGGTTACTAAAAGCATGATTGTAGGGCTGTTGTGATGATTACGTAAAATTAAATATTTCAGATAAGACTCCCTAGTAGATATTATTAAACCTTCATTTGATTGAGGTTTTCTGTAGCTACTGAATGAAAACCATGTAAAGAAAATGCCATCACTGCATCGTTTCATAAACTGTGTTCTTTTATGTCAGCCCACGTTGTAAGTGTATAGGAAATATTGCCTGACTCCTTCTTCCCTCTTGTGCTTTCCTTTTGTGTTTTCCTGACTGTAATTTTGACTCTCCTGTAGGCTGCTGGGAAATGGACCCATCGAGCCGAGGCGTTAGGGAGGCCCTGTTAGTTGTTCATCTGTATCAAAATCCTGCTGAAACGGCCACATTCCTAGTGCTGCTTCAGCTCTTTGCCACACTTGGTCACCAGAGAATCCTTGGTCAAGCTGGGTCTGCTAAGTCTAAGCCCAGGGTCTTAGGAAGCCACATGAAAACCAGGAAAGGAAGAAATATGGAGGAAGGAAGGAACGAACAAACAAATGAATCAACAAATGAGGGAAGTTGTTAGTCTGGAATATTTGAATTTGCTTGTGAGGCAATAAATTAGCAGTTCAAGAAAGCTTTGTGCTCTAGTAGAGATTAAAATCTCCAGAGGGAAAAAGCAGAGTGGAAAAAGGCAAAAGGAAAAAGGCCATGGAAAAATATAAATCCAGATTATTTTAGACATTTTTCAACTGTAATTTGAATTTTTTCTTTGTCTAGTAGAGACATTCAATGCTTAAAGGGTATTTCCAGGTGACTCAGAAAAAGAGAACTTGCAGGTCATGCAAAGCAGGAAGAGCATAACAGATGACTTCATGTTTTGGCCCTGCTCTGACTTGGTTACTTAACTTGGTCTTTGTGGACTCAAGCTTATTCATCTGTAGCATGTAGGAGTTCTAACCACCCATTCTTAACAATGGACTTCAATTTAAAAAATCTCGAACATCCCACGAATTGAGAAAGAAGACTTTACAATGTGACTTGCCATATTTTTTTTTAAAGTCACGGCTATGAAAGGAAACAGAATTCACAGGCAAAACCACCTCTTCCTCAAACAGGTGTCACCCTGTGACTTCACCTCTGCCAGAACAGGCGCGGCCCTGGCTTCCGGTGCGCAGGCATTTGCTGGCAGAGCTCTCCTCCTTGTTTTCCCCTGGAGTTTCAGTTCTGTAAGGACCTGATCCAGCTCCCGTGTGCTTCCCTGCCCTCGTTGCATGTATTCTCCTTGAGCCTCAAGCCATAACAGGGAAGACTGGAGTGTTTTCAAACTTGCTTGTTGATTTCTCTTGCCAACTCATCTTTGTGGCCCGCATTTTAATAAATTGTTAACAGTTTTTATCCAAAAGTCATTCTTGTTTAAGCTTTATTGTGTTTAAGTCCTCTTTTAATCTTACAATAGTTCTGAAAAGCAAATAATGTCATTCTTTCTAGAAAGATAAGTCAAGGTTCAAAGGGGTTAAGGGAGTTACCCCAAATCATCCTGCTACAAAGGAGAGCTTCTTATTTTGAAAGCAGAATCTCTCTCTCTCTCTCACACACACACAGAGCATATTTTAACGTAGAGATCTAGGAAAGAAACTGAATGACTCAAACCCGTTAGAATGATTTAGGCTGGGCGTAAGAGCCCTTTCCTTTAGCTTCCTTTGAACAGTGCCTCCCAGTCCTCAGAACCCTGAGAGCGTTCCGGCGGACCCCAGGGGATAATGAAGCTGCTGTTTGTGAAGGGTGGAGTCGTACCACTTGCACACGGTCGTCCGGCTCCAAGAAGCCTTCCCTGCTGGCTGGCCCCCATGTCTGGGTAAATTGTACACCCCTAGTTCTCAGTGACTATGCATTTGGCTGTTAGACATTTTTTTCCTGAAGAATTATTTTCCGTAGATATTTGTGTCTAACAGAAAATCAACACAGCAGCTCGCACCTCTTGACATTCTGGTTCATTAATGACTTTGTTGACTTTCGAGAACTTCTTTTAGCTTGGCTATTACGCAAGACTTAATACAATAGTATGAAATTCAAGTCATCCACTTTTTTTTTTTAATTGTTATTTTCCATGATCCGGCTTTGCAGGTGTAGGGATTCCTGCTCCACCTCTGCTTCCTCCTTCCCATGCTCTTCGTCTCCACTATTTCCCCCATATTATTGTAATCGTATAATCCTCCAGCTACAGTCACACGTGCAACATTCTGCTATTTAAGTATATCATGACATTGTAGGTCTAGGCAATGGTAGAAAATCTAGTATCGTGTTGTCAAGGTAGATGTCACAATGTCGTTGTGAGTCCTCCCTCGATTTGGGGGTGGAGGTGCATATTGCATTGTATCTTCGCTTCCCACTGTGCATCTATACATGTTTACCTATATATCTATTTTTGTGTTTTGCATGAATGATGCCTTATCTCAGAGAGAGCATATGATGTTTGTTCACTCCTCTCCCAATTGTACCTTCTTAAAAATTATTATGGAATAGTGCACGTTGATAAGCTTGCGATCATGGCTATACCCTAGCCTGCTGACTGCTAAGGGATTGCCTAACGTCACACAGGGGCGGGACTGACCTCTGTAAGCTGTTGATTAGGAGAATAAGCAAAGTTTGGGAAAAGAGAACATTCGTTTTTCACTTTCTGTAAGTTCTAGATTGCATACGTAATTTTTAGTATTTAAATGGACTTTTCTTTTTTTGAACTTCATGTTATAATAAGCATGAAAGCCTCCTTTAGAACTCTGTTTCCTACATTCCTGGTACTGTAAGTTATAATAAAAGTTTTTGACTGGAAAATATCTACAAAACAATAAGCTGATAAAATTCATGGGGATTTGATGACTGAGGTTTGGCCAAGTCACCTTGCAATGCCCACGACTTTCAGGGCTGTGGAGTGCTGGTGGCTGGGCAAGTACCAGGCACAGCTGTGTGCAGTTGACACATCCCACAACCGGTTACTGTTTCCACAGATGTGTTTTGATTTCTCAGAATGGTGCTTTGCAAAATTAACTTTGTTGCAAATATTTATAAGTCAGCAAATATAAAAACAGATTTCTATATTATCTTTAAAAATGTGATTTAACAAAATCAGGTCTTCAAGCTCAGTTCAAAAACTGACTGGAGTGAAGGAGGAACTTCAGACGTAACTGGGGTCAGTATGTTCTAACTGCCTCATTCTCATCACGGCTGTTTATTTCAAACTTGACTTCTCCTGATTCTTTATTTTGAGGGCGTTATTTTGGAGAAAACTCCGAAGCTTACTTTATCCATTTGTTTATTCATTTATTTTTATTTTATTTGACAGGTGGTTTGGAGAGATTCAGAGGAAAGGAGAGAGGGAGGGAGAGAGGGAGAGATGTTGAGAAAAGGAGAGAGCGAGAGAGAATGAGAGATCTTCCATCTGCTGGTTCTCTCCCTAACTGTCCCATAGCTGGGGCAGGACGAAGTCCATGAACTCACTGCAGGTCTCATTTTGGACGAGAGGGACCGAGCATTTGTCCCATCACCGGCAGCCTCCCTGGGTGCACGCTGCAGAAAGCTGGAATCCCAGGTCCTGTCTGGGCCGCTGTCCTAGGCGGATTTCCAACTGCTATGCCAACCTCCCACCCTTGGTGGGCTGCTCACTGATTCTGCAGCTTCACCGGCAGGAACTCCTGGAGGAGTTCTCGGGATGGCTCAGCCAAGGGCCAAGGCTGGGGGAAGGCTTCTTCCTGCGGGCTCTAATTGCTTGGCTCCTTGCGTGAGCCTGTGTGTAGAGTCATACTGGAATAGCAGGAACAGCTTCGGATACCCTGAGAATGCTGGAAGTTCCTTCAGGTTTTCACAGATGTGGAGAAGGGCATTTGTCAGTCTTGTGTTATCCTTACAAGTAGCTTGAAATGAAATCATAGTATGAACTTTTGTTCATTTATCAATCTATTATTTTGTTGTTATTTTCTAATAAAGAGGTTCTTACCATATTTAAAGAGCTCACTCAATGTAAGTATAATTAACAGCATAGATTTTTTTTTTTTAACAGGTTTTCTTACATTTCATATCATGAAAATGAACAGCTTGGATTTGAAACACAGCCTTTGTTTTCTTATCTCTTCTTGCCTCTGGAAAGTGTCCGACCATAAATATTGACCTTAGGCTGCACTTGTTCATTAATGCAAAAGTATATGCATATGTAAAAGTACATGTCAATCAACTAAGAGGAGGAGTGGTAATTATCCTAGTAATTATGTGGATAAAAACAGATGATCTGTTTCTGTTCTGGGTTGGCTATTTTGGTTTAAATGAGTTCAGTTGCCCTTTCTGAATGAGCTAACCAGGGAAACACCTTCTTCAAGATGAGTTGACCCCTGTGACGCCTCTGCCTCTGTGCGGCTTTTCGATAGTTCGTGCACAGTTCTCTCTCCTTTTCTGACAGTCCTGGATGTTTGATTTTTTTACGTGTAAGGGAGGTCACCGCTTATCATTGTAATTCTCTGTTTCACCCAGTGCTGCTAGAGAGAACACTTTAAAATCCTACACACAAGTTTTTCAGAACATTCATGCAAAGTGTGTGCTGTGGAGACACTTCGCTGTCTCTCAGGTGTTGTTGCACAGACTTCCTGAAGTCACACGTGTGAGTGAGGGGAGTTGGGCGCAGACAGACGGGCATTGGAGGGCCAGCTGGGCCAACAGTCAGCAGGCCAAGCAGGGGCGTTTGAGCCCAGCGAGCTCACTCAGCTTTCTTGCTGCTCTTTTCCCAGGTTTGCTTTCTGAATGTGGGGTGGCAGGTACAGCAAAAATTGTTTAAGAAAAAGTACTGTTGGAGAGCCAGCCCCACAAGCGGGTATTGTTGATCTAACTCAGCCTAAGGAATCATTTCAGGCCTTGGGTCACGGCCTCAAACAGGAAGCGTCCTTGAGTTCCTACAAACATGGCATGTGGTTGAGGGGGTGGGGTTTATCACGCAAACACGCAGCTGCCAGACTTTAATGTTTACGGGGATGGGGAGTAGTTCACTTAAGGTCAAGGATTGATCCTTCCTTGTCACTCTGAAGAGCAGATAGTGTTGTCTTTCAGCCCCAAGGCTGTATTTGGCTTGGAAGTTTTCTTGAATGCCAGCTATGCTTACTCTATAACTGATATGGGCTTCAAAGAATTAATGTGAATAAAGAAGCTTAAACTTAAACTTGTGTCCCTGCCTTAAGAGTTATCTAGAAGAAAGTTTAAAGCAGTTTGAAGAGAAGCTGTGGGCAGAGGCACCAAACATCTTGTTTGTTTCTGAGATGTGAGAATAACAGTGTTTAGAATGTTAGGAGAACAAAACTCTGGGTAGAAAGGCAAGAGGCCATCTCCAGGCCTCCTCCCGAGGATGCGTGAATTGTCAGCCCACTCAGATTCCTTCCTGGAACTGCTTCATGTTGTAAAAGTTTCTACTGCTCCAAGAAACCGCTACCATTGGCTGGTGGAAGCAGCGCAGCAGGCACCTGCATCCAGAGCTGTTTCTGTCGTGTTGTCAGTGAGGTGTTCATAGTCTAGTGTCTAACAGACCTTATTCATGGACTGTCAGGAAAGATTGTAAAACACAGCCGCTGTTTTTGGAGTAGCAGCCATCAGGCTAGTTCTGTGCATCTCTAAGGAATGCCAATAATGATCCTCTGGCGAACAGATTCTTTGTGCATTATGCTTTCCATTAATCTGAGCAAGTTGATGAGCGTCAATTACTGGCGTGAGCCGCGGGAGGTTCCTCCCTTGGTGTGGAGCACTCTGGGTGAGCTGGAGGTGTGGAGGGGCAGAGCGTAGTACACTTATGAGTCATAAAGTTTCAGAACTTGTCCTTATGTTTGCATTTGGAAACAAAGTATGCATGAAACGCAAGGTGAAAAACCCAAACAAAAGATTGAAACTGAAATTCACTAACAATATGAGTCAAAATAATGGGAAACAAAACAAAATAAATTACAGAGAGCAAACTAGAGGTAAGATGCAGTCCTTTTCAGGCAAAGGAGGGCTTGCCAGTGGCAGTGGCCTGAGCCCATCTGCTTCCATTTCTCCAGGTACCTTGTTCATTGGAGAGACACGAAAAACAAACTGTGGGAAGTTGTGGACATGCTGATGGGGTCAGCATCACACACTCAGCCGATAGTGAGGTTGAGTCCAATTTGCAGTGATCTTCATTACATTAAGGTGATGGCGTTTTAAACATCGCTTTCACCATTGGCTGGAAGGATGGAAGGAGCTGAGGTGTCTAAAAGATAAGTCTTGTAGTGTTAAAGCTGTGGCGACTGGCAAAGAGGCACTCCACCCATTTCAGCTGCTGGATGAAGTCCGAGGGTGCCTCTGTGGGGAAGAGGCCAAGAAACAATGTTTCTGTGGAGAGGGAGTGTTT